CTTTTACAAAAGCCTGCTGGCATTTCTGAGACCAAACAAATTTCTGATTTGTTTTCAAAAGCTCATAGATTGGAGATAAAATTTCAGCTGCACTTGGGATGAATTTGTGGTAATAATTGACAATTCCTATAAAAGATCTTACCTCACTTACGTTCGTCGGCTGGGGTGCATCTATTATAGCCTTTACCTTTTCTTTGGTCTTCTTAAGCCCATTCTTTGTCAATGTAAATCCCAAATAATCGACTTCATCTTGAAAGAATTTACACTTTTCCTTCTTTACTGTTAGATTGGCTCGCTTTAATTTCTCCAAAACTTTGTGCAGATTTTCCAAATGTTCAGCTGTTGTCCGTCCAGAAACCACTATGTCGTCAACAAAAACTGACACAAATTCCATGTCCTTGAACAGGTTTTCCATCTCTCTCTGAAAAATACTTGTTGAACATGTTAAACCAAAATGCATTTTCAAAACTTTATAGAGACCACGCTCAGTGTTCCAGGTTAAAATTTTACTTGATTCATCATTTACAGAAAATTGCATATACTTAGGCCATTCTTAGGTCTATTTTTGAAAATTTTTCTATCATCTATCAAAAATTTCCTCAATTCTGGGCAGGGGATATTTAACATCTTGCAGAAACTTGTTCACTGTAACCTTATAATCAGCACATAGACGCAATTGGCCATTGCTCTTTAATACAGGAACCAAAGGAGTTGCCCATTCACTGTTGTCAACCCTTTGAATCACTCCCTCCTGCTCCAGTTTATCTAATTCTTCAAAAACTTAATTTTTATAAGCAAAAGGAACATTTCTTTGCCTCATAAAGACTGGCACAGCTTCCTTTTTCAACTTAATGCTTACAACAGAGTGAGAAAATGTACCTACTTTATCATTGAAGACTTCTGGATACCTCTCAATGATTTGTGACACTTCATTTTCCTGCGATATCTGGTTAATCAGCTCAATCCTCACGTTAAAAGTTTCCATCCAATCTCGACCAAGAATGTCCGCGGCAGCACCCTGGACCACATAGAATTTTACTGGCTTAGTGACCTTACGATACTCCACATTCAACATAACATAACCATCTGGTCTAAATGAACCTCCATCATAGGCTCTGAGGAGAGTTTGATCTGTCTTCAACCTAAAACTAGAAAAATGTTTTAAATATGTTTCTTTACTAAGTGCACTAAGTCCTGCACCACTATCAATAAAAATCTTCAAAGGTTTTTTAATTATTTCAACAACAATATTAAAAGGATTTCCTACAAAGGCTCTATCCACCCCAAAAATACTTACAACATTTGATGAGTCGGTAATACTATCACAATAAAATATGTCATCATCCTGTTCCAGTTCCTGATCTACAAAATTCAAATTATTTCGCCTACATGCCCTTGATAAATGCCCAATTTTGCCACAAGTATGGCATTTTGCATTTTTATAAAAACAATTTAAGCTAGGATGATTGGAAAAACAATGTTTACATTTTTGCAAATCACGATTATTAAAATTTGGATTGACATTTCCCTCTCTACTAGTAGGTACTTATCTTTTTTGACATTTGGCTGAAGGTTGCATATGGTCGGCCATGGTTGCGCTGTTGCTGTTGCGGCTGAGTCCAACCACCTGATTGATGACGAGCATTTGGTTGACCTCGAGGTTCTTGGCTGTTGCTACTGTTGCTGTTGCTTGTTTGAAATCGCCTCGTCGCTGACGTCAGGTTGCGTTGTGGTTTTCTGCTTCGATCATGAGCAGAACTGACCAAATTGACACCAGCATGCGTCATGGAAGCTTTTGCTGCACTCTCCACCTTCGTTGCCAGCTCTACCAATTTTTCCAAGTCCTGATCCTCGGATTCTTCACACATTCTATCCATTTATCCATTATTTTCCCATTGGAAAGGCCACAGACGAAGCGATGCGCAAGAATTTTGGATAAATCACTTCCAAAACTACAACCGACTGCTGCGCTTCTCAATGGACCATAATATTCCGTAATGGTTTCGTCAGCCTGCGAGATTTGATAAAATTTCTTCCTCTCTCGCCAGGCGCTGACTTGGACTTTAAATTGTGATTTTAGTAGTTTATTTAGTTCATTGAAGGTCTTTTCTTTTGGAGGCGTTGGGTAGCATAAGTCCCTTAGAAGTTTGTAGGTTTCCACCCCCATGGAGCTCAACAAGACTGCGATTTTTACCTTGCCCTCTGTGATGCCATTCGCGGTGAAATGCTGTTCTAATCTTTCTTGATAGATTTCCCATTCGTTGGTCTCATGGTGAAATTCCGAAAATTTTGGCGCGATTGCCATCGCCATCTTGCCGTTTTCTTAGCACGTCACGACCACGTTGAATTAACAATTAAACTTCAAAAATTCGCGTTTCCGTTTTATATCCTCGTCGCCACTGTTACGTTTTGTAATAAAAGATGATTGATTTACTGATTGATAAGATTTATTTTGTTTAATATGAAATTCTTTGGTTTAATTAAAGGGAGGCACGCGAACAGGAACATCTAAATCTAAAGACTCGTAATTACCGACTGCCTAGTTCAGTCTCAGGCCGCGCTTGTGCGCTTCTAAGCAGTGTTGCCACTACATGACACCTAGAAAACAGCTACTTGTGTGAAGTTCTTTTATTAAGGGAGAAGAAACAAGTACATGTCAGTGGCGTGACAGTAGCAGCAAAGCAGTGGCGTAGCATAACACTTGGTAACTTGATATAGATTTTAACTCTTATGTATTTTGTTTTCAATTTTATTAATTATTTTATTGGTTTGACTGACTCGTGTGACTTACATCTTTATATTCCTTCCCAGTTTTGTAATTGAGAGTGCTGAACTCTACACATTAAAGGATTTTTCATTTGATTTGAATAAAGTATGCGGATAATCAACATAAAAATTTACTTAAATAAATTTACTCGTGCATGCTAGTCTGGACGATATGGTAAATATCTTCTATAATGCTATTTATTCGGCAATTGAACTTTTTGTTCCCCTTAAGAGAATTTCCTCAGGTAGATTCCCCAGATGGTTTTCACAAGACCTTAAACATTATATAATAGAAAAAAAGAAAGCTCACAAACGGTACAAAATATCGGGTCTTCAACGCGATTATCGCAAGTTTGCAAAAGATTGCTGACTGAATCCAATCAAGCTTTTATCACTTTCACAGAAAATTCCCTAATAACCAATCCCAAACAATTTTAGAACTATGTCAACTCTAAAAGAGACAACCGTGATACCCCCAGTGAGCTTCATTACAATGGAAACTCCAGCGATTCTGGATTGGAAATTGCCAATATGTTTGCCGAATATTTCTCTCAAGTTTATAGTACTAAGTCATGCCCCAATCACCAGCGTCCTTACTTTGAGAATAATAACAATAACACATACGTTACTAACTATTCTATTTTAATTTCTGATATATACTCCCATTTAAATAAACTAGACACAAATAAGGGACCTGGACCAGACGGTATACCGCCATCACTGCTCAAGCACTGCAGCTTTGTCTTAGCGCGTCCACTATACTATATTTTCAACTTGTCTCTTTCAAAGGGAATTTTTCCCGAATTCTGGAAACTAAGCTACTTAACACCAATTCACAAATCAGGAAAAAAGGATCTGATAACGAACTATCGACCAATTAGTATTTTGAGTGCCATCCCCAAAATATTTGAACACATAGTAACTAAATACTTAACCCCCATACTAAGTCCTCATGTTACTTCAAGACAGTTTGGCTTTCAAGCCGCAAAGAATACCGAACTTAATCTGCTGGCGTATGTAGATTTTATATCCAGTGCCTTGGAGAGAGGCTTTCAGGTGCACTCAATCTACACGGATTTCTCCAAGGCGTTCGATAGGGTTAACCACGCCGTCCTTCTGTCTAAGCTGGAGCTTGTGGGTGTTGGAGGTTCGTTGCTGCGCTGGTTGAAGAGTTATTTAACAGGACGATCTCAAATAGTCCGATTCAAAAAATTTCAATCCAAAAACATACAAGTACCATCTGGAGTCCCCCAGAGGTCGCTTCTCTTCAACATTTTTATCAATGATCTAACATTGCACTTCAAACACAGTCAGTTTCTCCTTTTCCCAGATGATTTGAAGTTGTACATGGAATTAACTTCTCCGGATGATTGTCTATCTCTACAATTAGACATAAATAATTTAGTAGCTTGGTGCAACGGAAATGGGATGGATCTGAATTCCTCAAAGTGCTATTCGATAGTTTTCCATAAGTCAAGATCGCCTTTTCTACATCCCTATTCGATTAAAAATGATATACTCGAAAACGTCCCCGAAATCAAAGATTTAGGTCTTCTCCTGGACTCCAAGCTCACTTTCATCCCACACATCCACAAAGCCTTATCGAAATCTCTCCAGATGCTCGGTTTTATAAAGCGTATAACCCGTGAATTCACTAACACTAGAGCGATTAAACAATTATATTGCTCATTGATAAGGACTCATCTTGAGTACTCTTCTTGCGTCTGGAATCCCCACTACAATGTACATATCCAAAACATAGAAAAAGTTCAGCACAAATTTCTAAAATTCATCGCTTTTAAACTCAATACTCCCGAATTGACATACCCACAGTTGGAATCAAATATCGATATCAGAAGCCTTGAACACCGACGGCCTCGCCTTAGGGATACTTTTTCCGTGCCGGCGCAACTACGGCCAGAATAGCTTTATATCCAAGTCGTGCAGACTGGCAAACGAGTGTTCCTGGCTTGATTTCTTTTCAGGTGACTCGGCGATTATAAGGCAGTTGAGTGCCTTAGCTTGAAATCTCTATACCTCAAACCTCAAAATGATATAAATTAAAATTAGAATAGTGGAGCTGTTGTGCTATTTTTTGTTTGCATCAAAAATAATTATTATTAAAACGTGTTTATTCTGTGTATAAAATGTTACATGTATTACTTTATGAAATTGGGCCATGCCCGTAAATAAATAAATAAATAAATAAATTATTAATGAGCCATATTAAATATTGCGGTCCCAATATCATTTAATTTTAGACAAACCAGAAGTGATAACATATATACATCGGTAGCAATTCATTAAGCAACAAGAGTTAATTTGCTTGCAAGCTTAAAAAAAATGACATCTCAAGTAAGTAAAAGACAAATGTATTTATTTTGCTCCTTTTTTATACAGGGTGTCCCCGTTCAACTGGTCAAAAATGCTAGGGTATATAGAGAAGTAGTTTGAGATAAAGCACCGATAGTCGGAAGTGTACCATCAAATCAAATCAACTGCAATTCCTTAAAAAGTTGCATCACCACCTGAAAATTTCATTAAAATCATAAAGGCGTTTTTAATACCTACAGAGAAAAAAATTCTATTTTTTTTTGTAAAATTTCAACATCCTATTTTCTGGAAACGACGCACTTCCAACCATCGGTGTCCTATCTCAATCTACTTCTGTATGGTTCCTCTATATACATATATAGCATTTTTGACCAGTTGAACGGGGACACCCAGTATAGTTGCATAGAAAATATAAAAATGTAATTTGTAACAAAACATGAATTTTTTAGAGTAACCTAATTTCATTTTGATTATTTATTTTAGACCAAAGAATGTCTCGTTTATACATTAGGAGAGAGTGTCACACGTTATTACTGCCTTGAGGACCAAATTTGTTGTGCAAATAAATGTTGCACCCCCACCAATTCAAATTACTATAAAGATCACTGGTACATTTGGTGAGAATTTAAATTTTTATTAAAATCAGATTTCTAATTAATAAAAAAATTCCAGGTTTGCAGTAGTTATTACAATTTTCATACTTCTTTGTGTTTGGTGTCACGCTGAAAAAGGAGGTTTCCTTACTGAAAGGCGAAACGTTTTACCAACCAGTCATTGTAGTAGAAGTAATATCAGAATTTGCATTGGGTAATTGAATTTGTAATTAAACATTTTTAGATTTACTAGTGGTAAACCACCAAAATGACAATGAACTACCAGAATTTACATCTAATTACGAAATACCAATTTACGATATTTCAGAGCCAATAATAATTGAAAGTGAAAGTTGCAATACTTACGATCCCGGAGATTTTTCTTCTTGTACTTGTGATAATGATGAATGAATTAATTTATTGATATAATTAATCTATATACTTTTGATGTTTTTTTTTACTCAGGCCTGGTTTATTCATTTTCAGATAAACTTACTAGTAACTAATACTATATCTGCAAGATATATATATATATATATATATATATATATATATATATATATATATATATATATATATTTGAGAAAAGTTTTTTGGATTAATTTTCTCCGCTTTTCCATCCATAGACGCGTTTCGACCTATATCAGGTCTCATCAGTATGGCTAGGAAAAGCGAAGAAAACTAATCCAATTTTTCGCCTAAAGGCAAATGCAAGAAATTTCTCATCAGTGGATAATAGGTTTTCCTATTCTGGGTTTCCCCACGAACTGAAATTTGGTTGGCCGATTAGATTACTCAGTCACCATATTGCAGCGAAAATTGCTGCTTGGTGTTGAAGTTTTGTCTTAGATGGCGCCACGATCAAATTTCGACCGTTGTACTATATATATATATATATATATATATATATATATATATATATATATATACAGGGTGACTGGTAAGTGGACGTATTCCTTTGAGGAGATGACATTAGAGCCTATTTGCTACCGATTAAATACTATTTACCTCTATACCATTCTTAACGGTTTTCGCGATATTTTCATTTTTCTAATTTTTATAAAATTCACTACCTTATGAGGCAAATATTTAAAATTAACGAAAATAACAAGGACCTTTCTGAAAGTCGTGTTTTAAATTTTAAGCTGACACACTGACAAAAATATCAGCATTGAAAATTATCGAAACACTAATGTTAACTATTGAGTTATTGCGGTTTAAACTTAACTTTTCTTGTTAAGTTTCTAACTAATGACTTATTTAACCCTAAAAATATCGAAAATTTCATAGTACTTCAAACGTACAAATAATTGGCAAAAGTACTCCATTTTATTGTCTCCAAGATAAGGTACATTATTTCAGAATTAGCTTTTTGCTTTATTGTTAAATAAATTATTTTTATTTTAAGGAGAGACGATATAATTTTCAACAGAATTCTAATTTATACCTGTTTTGGATATCAAGTGTTGCAATAAAAATTTTATCAATTTTTTTACTAGCTAATAGTAATAGTTATTAGTAAAGAAGAAGTATAATTACTATTTTCTGCTTGAAAATTTTGAAATTTGCATAATAAATTACTGGCACTTTATTGCCAAGCATTCTTGAATGCACTCTCTTCCAAATAAAGTCTGTTTCTTTTTTGAAGATAATTCCCAAGTCAAAAATTCACTACCAATGTTGGCAACACAAGCTCTTTCTAGATAAAAAATTTGAAAGCATTGACAATTTTACATTGTATCGCCAACATAATGTAAGTGTGACTTTTATCTTTGAAAAAAAAACAATATTTACCATTTGAAAAAATGTATTTCCTACCTTATAATAAAAAAAAAACAACATTCTCCTAATAAAAAAAAAAACAACATTCTCAAAATTAAATGAAAAAACTTTTCCAACAAGTGATGTAATTAATTTTCAAAATGACTACCCCCATTCCTTATGCAATCACGAGCCCGTCTTCTTACTTCTGTCCTGGTTACTCGATTTGAAAAGTTCTGTCGCAATATCGCAACCCCATTCTGTATCCTTTCAATCAGTTCTTCGCGCGTATTTACCTCCGTGGCATATACGATTTCTTTCAGGTGCCCCCATACATAAAAATCTAATGGAGTTAAATCAGGGCTCCTAGCAGGCCATGGAATGGGTCCACCCCTTCCAATCCATCTATTCGGAAACCTTTGCTCTAAGAGTTCCCGTATTGTAAGACGATAATGTGCAGGACATCCGTCATGCTGGAAGATCATCTCTTGCCTGTTCGCTAGAGGGACATTTTCTAGTAGCTCATACAAGTTGTTACGTAAAAATTCTTCATAATTTTCACCGTTAAGGTTATCCGGTAAAAAATGAGGTCCAATTAAATTATTGGCGATAACTCCCATCCATACATTGACACTAAATTTTCTTTGGAAACTAACTTGCTTCTTCTGATGCGGATTATCTTCGGCCCAGTAGTGCAAATTATGAAAATTTGTTATTCCTTCTCTGCTAAATTTTGATTCATCGGTCCATAAAATTCTTGTTAAAAATGAAGCATCCTCAATATCCGCATGGAGAATAAATCTGCAGAATTGAACTCTGCGCGCCGGATCACCCTCGTCTAGTCCTTGCACAGGAGTGTGATGAAATGGGTGAAGACCATTTTGATGAATCACTGACCAGACCTTCCATTGTGAAACACCCAGCTGTCGGGAAATTTTTCTGGTGCTTGTTGTTGGACCTTCTTCAAGTAGTCTCAAAATTTCACCATCAATGTTAACGTCTGCAGGAGGAGCTCCTACGCGTTCTACTCGTTGAAGGCTGCCAGATTCTGAAATGCGACGGTAAGTTGCACCAAACACACTAACATGTGGAATGCGCCTATTTGGGAAGCGACGTACATATTCTCTTTGAGCTTCAGCTGCATTTCCATTGGAAAAACCATAAATAAATAAAATGTCCGCATATTCAGCATAGCTAAACGTTGCCATTTTAGATAGAAGTTAACAGCGAAAGACTATCATCAGAACTATTTAAATCAAAACTTTGGACGAAAAACTGAAACTAAATTTTGTTATTGTTTATTATTATTAATTCAAAAAATGGAAAAATGCGTATGGTATACCTGTTGATAAATATCAACATGATTGGCGAGTATCACACCAAATTGCAATAAGAAAAGACTGGAAAATAATGTTGCTTACTTAGTCTGAACTTACAATTCTTCTAAATGCGAGAATAAAACCGTTACTCCTACAAATGAAAATTATGAAATCAACAATAAAACAACCTTATTTTAAAGACAATAAAATAGAGAATTTTTAACAATCATTTGTACGTTTGGTGGACTAAAGTGCGTTTTTTTTTTTAAAGATAAAAGTCAAACTGACATTATGTTGGCAATACAATGTAAAATTGTCAATGCTTTCAAATTTTTCATGTAGAAAAGGCTTGTGTTGCCAACATAGTTACTAAATTTTTGACTTGGGGAATTATCTTTTAAAAAAAAACACACTTTATGAAGTTTTCGAAATTTTTCAGCATAAAGAAACCATTAATTCGCAGAATTCAGTTCTGCAGATTTATTCTGAATTCGGATGTTGAGGATGCTACAATATTAGAGAAGGAATAACAAATTTTGATTTTTTACCTGATAACCTTAACGGTGAATATTATGAAGAATTTTCACGTAACAACTTGTATGAGCTACTACAAGATGTCCCTTTAGCGAACAGGCAAACAGATGATCTTCCAGCTTGACGGATGTCCTGCACACTATCGTCTAACAATAAGGGCACTCTTAGACCAAAGGATTCCGAATAGATGGATTGGAAGAGGTGGACCCATACCATGGCCTGTTAGGAGCCCTGATTTAACTCCTGTTGCGATATTGCGACAGAACTTTTCAAATCGAGTAACCAGGACAGAAATACGAAGACGGGCTCGTAATTGCATAAGGAATGGGGTTAGTCATTTTGAAAATTAATGAGTTATTGATTAAATTGTATCAAAAAGTTTTTCCATTTCATTTTGAGAATGTTGTTTTTTTTATTATGATAGGAAATACATTTTTTCAAATGGTAATTATTGGTTTATTATGGAACGAAAAAATTAGGTGCCAATTGTGAACTATTTGAAAGAGAATGCATTCAACAATGCTTGGCCATAGAGTGCCAGTAATTTATTATGAAAATTTCAAAATTTTCAAGCAGAAAATAATAATTACTTCTTTACTAAAAACTATTACTATTAGCTACTAAAAAATTTGATAAAATTTTTATTGCAACACTTGATATCCAAAACAGGTATAAATTAGAATTCTGTTGAAAATTATATCGTCTCTCCTTAAAATAAAAATAATTTATTTAACAAGAAAGCAAAAAGCTAATTCTGAAATAATGTACCTTATCTTGGAGACAATAAAATGGAGTACTTTTGCCAATTATTTGTACGTTTGAAGTACTATGAAATTTTCGATATTTTTAGGGTTAAATAAGTCATTAGTTAGAAACTTAACAAGAAAAGTTAAGTTTAAACCGCAATAACTCAATAGTTAACATTAGTGTTTCGATAATTTTCAATGCTGATATTTTTGTCAGTGTGTCAGCTTAAAATTTAAAACACGACTTTCAGAAAGGTCCTTATTATTTTCGTTAATTTTAAATATTTGCTTCATAAGGTAGTGAATTTTATAAAAATTAGAAAAATGAAAATATCGCGAAAACCGTTAAGAATGGTATAGAGGTAAATAGTGTTTAATCGGTAGCAAATAGGCTCTAATGTCATCTCCTCAAAGGAATACGTCCACTTACCAGTCACCCTGTATATATATATATATATATATATATATATATATAGTTATTAATTTCTTGGGGAATCAGCCTATTTCTTCGGGACTAGTTCAATAAAAAACTCTTTTCTGCTACGCCAAGCTTTCGAAAATGTTTATTTTCTTTCTCAAGGCTACAATTTGAAAATAAGATGTTAGATAATAATAGGCAATACTGAATTAAGGGAATATTTACCCTGTGTGCAAAGTGAGTCAATCACATAATGGACTTTTGACTACCTTTGCCAACATTGGAGACATCCTTCCACTTATTGGTCACAATAAATATATGTTAAGTTGTTCAAACAAACACAACATTAATTAGAATTATAAAATATTAGAGAGATTACATTCTTAATTCTACTTTATTTCGGGACGTTTCTTCCCTTTCACGTGCGAAACAAAATGGAGAGCACCTAAGACAAAAATTCAAAAAACCTATTTCCTGTTACCATGAGGAATGTCATACTCGGCTATGCCACCTGTCGGAATAACATTGAAAGGTTACTGTTGTACCTATTGTTGCTAGATTATTATAGCTTTTCATTGATAGATGGCGTATCGATTGTTGTTAATAAAGTGTTGAAATTTGCTCGAAGATGGAGTGGGTGTCCCAATTTAGTCACTGTAAATTGAATGATCAGTGCATTTTGG